TGGACACACAGGTGGGGCACGTGGGGGGACACTTGGGGGGCTGGACACTGGGGGGACACTTGGGGGGCTGGACACTGGGGGTGTGTGACACGCAGGACACTCCCACCACGTCCCCATGACTGTGACCACTGTGACCCCCCCTTGGACCCCCCCAAACCAGACCCCACTCCCCCTTTCTTCCCCATTTTTCACACAGAAAAAACCCCAAATGAGCGATTTTTTCAATATGTTTTACCCATTTTCTACGTTTTTTGCACAAAAATGGGGAGACAGGAAGGGCCTTGGGGAGAAAACGAGCGATTCTGGGCAACTTTGAAGGATGTGGGTAACAAATAAGACGGAAATGGGAAAAAACTGAAGAAAAAAATGAAGATATCACCCAAAACCACCAGCTGGGACGGCAGCAAAGAGACTTTTTTGAGAAAAAAAATGGGGGTTGGGTTAAAAAAACCCAAAATTGGTTGTGTAAAAAACAAAGAAAAAAGGAATATGAGTGTGGCACAGCCCCAGTTCCAGCAGGTTTTACCCCAAATCAGGTGTGGAGCAGCCCCAATTCCAGTCACCCCAGGACAGGGTTTTGGGGCAAAAGCAAAAAAAAAGGACAAATTTTGGGAGAAAACCAAAAAAGGGCCATTTTTGAGAGCAAAAATTTTAAAAACAAACAAAAAAACAAGCCAAATTTTGGGTGAGAAGCAAAAAGGAGCCAATTTTAGGGTTAAAAAAGAAAAGAAAGGGCTCAATTTGGGGTCAAACCAAAAAAGTGCCCAATTTCCACACAAAATAAAAGGGAAATTGGGTCCAAACTTACTGTAAAATCCCCAGTTTTGATGATTTCTTTGCTCTGGCCCTGTCTGGGCGTTCAGGGTTAGCCCAGGCTGCCCCGGGGTTGTTTTTGGGTGGGAATCAGGGATTTTGGAAAGGATTTAGGGATTTTGGGTAATGGGATTTGTGGGAATTTGGGAGTGGGAAGTGGAGGAGAGCTCTGAGGGTTTGGGGTTAATTAGAGCCCCCACTTCATTAGCAGGGGCATCACTTGATTGATTAGAGCCCCTCCGTGATTGGGGGAGCATCATTAGGACCCCCACTTCATTAGCAGGGGCATCGTTAAGGCCTCACACTTCGTTAGTGGGGTATCATTAGGGCTCCCTACTTCCTTAAGCCTTTCTGCTTCATTAATGGAATCATCATTAGGGCTCCTTGCTTAATTAAAGCCCCCCACTTCATTAGCAAGCATAACTCGAGAACCCCCTGCTTCATTAGAACCCACCCAAGTACATTACAAGGGCTTAATTAGGGCCCTCTGTTTAATTACTGGGGCATCATTAGGATCCCCTCTGGACTGGGAGGGTGTTAGGACCCTAATTAAGGCAGGGGATCATTAAAGCCCTAATTAAGGACTCACAGGTGTGAAGAAGTTGAGGGGGTGCAGTCGCTCCTGGGCAGCCCCACAAGCCTGAAGTACCTCAGTGCCATGGCCAGCAAAATGGGGTGAAAAACAGCTGCTTTAGGCAAAAAAAACAACTAAATTCTAGTAAAAAGGTAGTTTTTCTTAAAACAAATTCAACTAAAATGTGGTTTTAGTAGGACTGACCTTGTTGGAGACCCTGGAGAGGAACACCTGTACCACGGTGTCTTCTCGGGGAGGAGAAAAACAACAGGAAAATAATTTTTTTGGGGGGAAAACCGCTCAGTTTGGAGGTTCTGGAATGTGAGGGGGTGGGTTTAGCCCGGTTTGGACGGTAGCTCAAAAAGCCCCAGAACAAGAATTAGCATTTAACACCCATAAAACTTCAAGTGACCCCAAACCCAACCTTTTCTAACGCCTAATAAGCCCTAAATCCCCCCCAAACCAGAATAAGAGTTTAATCCCCAAAAGCTCAGAGTGACTACATCTTTACCTCTGTCTCGTACCTCTCTGCCTCAGTCATACTGCAGCAATTCCCTTTTCCGCCCCAAGAAGGGGTCGAGGACAACACTATCTGGTCTCCCCATAAGGAAAAAAAAAATCAAAGTTTTCTTTAAAATTCATTTGTGTATTTCAGTAAGATTTAAGGCGCTGAATTGATTTTCTGATGCCAAAATGGAAAGGCGGGAAAAAAAATCCCCTCAGGAGCTCCGGAGCTTTCCCGCCTTTTTCCTTCGCCTCAGGGAAGTTAACCCCGCCCCTCCCCGGGAGCCGCTTTCTATAGGCTGTGAGGGCGCTCCGCCAGCCAATCAGAAGGCAGAGGTCGAATAAGCCACGCCTCTCTACCCTGGCGCTGCTCTTTAAAGGCGGGGCGGCGGGACGCTACGCGGGATCAGCCAATCAGAGGTGAGGGGTGCAGAGCAGACGTCGCTGATTGGCTGGGTGCCGTGAGGGGAGACGTGTGAAGGGAGGGGCGGCCGCAGCTCCGGTGAGGGGTTTGGCGGGGGGTTTGTGAGGAGGGAAGGCGCTCGGGGGAGGCGCTGAGGTCACACAGCATCGGGTGTGGCGCTCGGTAGGAGCGAAAGGGGGGAAAGGGACAAATCCGGGTCATGTTGGGTCTCCCCAGGGAGCCCAGGGGGTCGCTGCCCTCGCCCGCGCCGCCCCTCCCTTAGCAACAGCCACCGGCCAAGCGGCGTCGCGCGCGGGATTTTTCTGATTGGCCGAGCCCCGCGGGGCCCGGCCAATGAGCGCGAGCCACGGGACCCTGCGCGTCCCCGCCCACCCCAGCGCCGGCTGCGGGGCCGCTCGGAGCGTACCAAGCGCGGGAGTGCCGGGGGGGAGCCCACCCGTTTGGGGTTTAGGGGGCCGCGACCCCCGCGGTCCCCGTGCGGAGAGAGAGGAGGAGGAGCCTCAGTATCTCTATGGGGAGAGGCTGTTTTGGGGGGGCGAGTTGGGGGGAACAGGCAGGGAGCGAACCCCCCCCGGGCTCCCCCCTGGCAGCGGGTGGTGCGGTCCGGGCGGAAGTGAGGTGTCGCGCGCTGCGGCGGTTCCGGTGTGGGAGCGGCCCGGGCTGGGGGGGCTGAGGCGGGGTCGGGCCCGGTGAGTCCCGGGGGGGCCCGGGGGCGACACCGGGGCTTGGGGGGTGCGGAGGGGACCGGGGGGGGCGTCGGGAGGGGCCGGAGGCAAAGGGGGCCTCGGGGGAAGCTGAGGGAGCGGTGACAGTGGGGTTCCTGGT